GAGCCCTATGAGCTATAAATGCATAAAATCCGCAATCTAGTTATGACACGCAATGGTAGATGGTAGAAGTACAGAGTGTCAAGAAATTACATCTCGGGGCCACCATAGTCAGATTCTACGTCTTCGGTTTGGTGGAGATTGAGATAAGCACGTTGCCGCAAAATTGACTTTGACTTTGAATTTAAAAGACAAATTTTATTATTATTGCATGAAATTCTACTCATCGTGAGGATCAAAAGTCTTTAAGTAACCATGGGTCGGAATTCAACCATTCTCTCGAAAAGTGATGTTAAACTTTCACTCGTTTTTGAACTGATTTTATTTATAATATATTTACATCTCGCAGTCAGAATTCAGATATCGCGCTATTAGCGAAGCAGCAAGCATTTTTCATTTTCCACTTTATCTTTTATTCGAAGACTTCGAATAAAACTTCAAATAACTTTCGGTAGCGCGTTTGGATTGTACTGGCGTACAAAATAATTTTTAATATGTATTTACTATGTGGAAGCTATAGGTGATCGAACTGATACCCCTCAACTGCAAAACTGCGATTATTTTGTAAATATCTCGGTAACTATGAGGTTTAGGACGAGTAAAGGTCAACACATCTTTACTCAAAATTTAATACTCTATCGATCTATAGTACAAAAAATAGGTCATTCCGTTAAAAAAAATCAAGGTGACCTTGAAATCTCTGAAATGCCTCCACTCACAAAAAAAGCACGTACCTTACAAAATGTGCCCCTTGATACTATTTAAGTTCCACGCCGCAAAATTTTCATAAAGTGTGCCGTTAAGTCATTATTCAAAGTGATTAAGTTAGCTGACACCCTGTATCTATGGGTCAGTGTACTCCTGACGCACGCAGCAGCTGTCGCATACAGTACAGTCGTCTTAACTACGTCGAATGGCGTCCAGTTAACTGCGCGCGCTGACCTTTGTGCGTAGTTATAATACCCCTGGCAGAAGGTATTTGATCAAATGAATTCAGACAACCATTGCAATAATTACTCACATATTGAAGATGGAAAATGTTGTATATACATGAAGGAAAGAGTACAGTCGATCGTATTTTGAGGAACTATTCACAAAATAATCAATATACAAGCTTGGTTCACCTGACGTGACCACCTTAATTACTCATAAATTATTGGCTGTATGAAAAAATATTTTAAACAAAAATTGTATGGTATTAACGAGGACATAATTTAGTAATATATTATTTACTATGTACTTAATAATAATAAAGGAATATGGTCCAAAATTATGTCATGTTTCGCCTCATTTTAATCGGAAGATTATTACCAACTTGTCATACAAGTTTACGGATATTTCAGAAACTGTTCACTTTAGACCCTATACGTTACAGTAATACTGTTTTATGTAATATTTGAAATATTGGGCATTTTATTTTAAAAAAACTGAAGGTAACCGTTGTATCTTGAAAAAAATGTAACATAGTAGAAAACGTATTATTGCATTATACATTCTTCTTGATACCATGCAACTTCTGTTTAAAATGTTTTTTCATATAGCCAATAATTTACGAGTAATTAAGGTGATCATGTTAGGTGAACCATCCTGTATATATCTGTCTGTTGAACATACAAGAATATTATGTTAACTGGAATGTTAAAAAATATGTATATAATTTGACGAAATGTTACAATGTTTCTAATTTCCTGAATAAAACAAATAATAATAACAGTGAGCAAGGAATTTACTTCAACATCTAAAAGAAATTGAACACATTCCTCAATCACTGTTTCCTCTTCGCACACTGTATTTGCAAAAAAATGGGAATTTAGTTTTATATCAATAGTTGCTGTAAATACAGAATAATTTTTACTGTATCACAATGTTTTGTTGGAGGTAGTGCCAGGCTCGGATTACGATTTCTTGTGGGGGGGGGGGGGGGGGGGGGGCACAAAATTTGTGTAATGCAATATTTAATTAAATACATAAGTTTTCCAAATTGAAATTTATTCTAACAAAAATTAAATATCATTTAATCCTAACAAACACTTGTTTATAACGAACAACGATTCGTTATGTTTTAACAACTTTCATTCAATTTATTTCTACATTTAGTACAATTTTTAATTATTTCAAAAGGGAAACAGTAAAGAAAATTTGATTGAATTATTTTTTTACATAAACAGCAGGCTTAGATGGGGGCCCCTTGAAGGGTAGTGCATAGTGTCTTTCTGTGGTCGTTACCACTTACAATGCTGCAGACAGATTTTTCTTACAATTAGTTTCACTGAATGCATAGCCGGTAAAAACGATACACTAATAATAATACAAAAGACTTCATAGAAACGTAGAGTACAGAAAGTTTGCATCTTAGTCAGGCTTGAACGAATAGTCGAAATCGAACAATACACTGTATAATCTGCTCTTCCTTAAATTTATTTTCAACTAGATGAATCTTTTACGATAATAATGGCAGAATTTCATCAAACGATCATTTTACAGTTCGAAGTACCGAAGTACATCAAAGTACGCAGACGTACAAAATGGTCTAATGCATCTCACGGTAGTCCACGAACGCAGCCCCACGGTTATGCCAATAAAAACTGCCAAGGAACAAGAGAACAGGAGAAAAAGCTGCCAGTAATTACATTTTTATCGCGGCCCGTTCGCGCGTTTCAATCGTGGTACATTGTATCAGTTCCGGGGCGATTTAATCGAAATTGCGCGGCCGAAGAGCCGCTCCCCGACGATGACAGAGTCGACAGAATATTACAGAGATTCGCCGGAGTTAATTCCCGAGGGCCGTGGAGGAACTGTTTTAATTAGAGAATCTAATTGATGGCTGCGTACGGTGTGGCTGCCGAGCAATCCATAAACGACTTCTTAAGGCTGCGCACCTGGGCAACACGGGCGTTAATTACTTACCTTCTGTGGCCGGGTCCTTCCATCTCTCGACCCCCCCGCCCCTTCCTACATCGCTCTCTCTCTTCGTTCCTTTTCTTTCATTTTATTTTTTGTTTTTGTTACTTTCATTCGAACTCTCTCTTGACTCGTGAGTCTGAAAGAGTCGCGCGGGTAGGAGAATAAAAGGGCGACGTAGGAAAAAAGAGGAAAACGGTGAATCGGCGAGAGGGAAAAGAAACGACGAAAGGGAGGATGGGGAGCGAGCGTGGTGAAGGGGAGGGGGAACGGAGAAGGAAAGAGCAACAAGTGTCTCCCGTCGCGAGGCGCAAAAGCATTCCTAATTACGCCCCTGCCCTTGGAGCGAGACGAGACAAAAAGCGCGTTGATTACATTTTCGTATAATTTCATCGGTCGGCTCTCGCCATTAAGAGCCACCACCGCGCGCAAATTAGATCGATTCTTTAATGCCCCAGGCCGCGTAATTGGTTCTCATTCTCGGAAGCTGACGATGAAATCGGATATCTGTCGTGTACCGGCGCAGTGCGTACCGGGTGGACCCAAAGCCGGGACCAATGGACCCCAGTGGTGGACCACTGGACCGGTCAACGTAATTGCTTCTCCGACTGTTTTGCGGTTCCGCTGCGCCGAAACCGCTTCGACTCGCACAACGAATATCGTTAATGTCGCGGATACGTGCGGCCGATAATGAAGCGAGAAACGCTTTTTGCCCGGACACCGCGGGATTGTTAATGAATCGTAACGTCGCGGCTATTATTTTAACGGATCTGCCCAGTCGCGGCGTGATTCGCTGAGTTCGCGGTCGCGGTTGCCTGAGGAATTGTAAATATTCCGCGAGGTACACCTTAGGGAAAGGGCCTCCTACCAATTTATAAATTTATATCAGGTACTAAAACAAATGTAAAATCGAATGTTAATTTGGTATAAATTTCAGTAAGTCCCAAAACTAAATGGTACTACTTTTTGACCCTTTGTTCGATCTTATTTAACTCTGTGCCCGAATGGTAAAATCTTCCCTTATAAAGAGTTGCAAAACAATAAAACAGAAAAATTTATGGTTTATTTTTAAGAAGAATAAAAGTAAAATAATATTACTATTGCATAATAAAAAATAAATAATGGTATTAATTCATATTAGTACCATAATATTTGTACTTGTACAGTCAATTTCCAGGTGATACACAGGATCGATCGATGACCTATCTAGTTACATTTATGAATAAAATCAAATTAAACGAATAAAAACCAACGCGGAAAAAATTGAAGAGGACGCTTCTCAAGTAGAATAATCGTCCGTGTCAAACGTATTTTACGTGTACTTCACCCGTATTTTGAACAATTAATAACTCGGACACGAAGCCTTGAATGCAATTTTGTTATTCTTGATTTTCATCTTGATTTTGCAAGTCAATTTTGTACCCTGTGAAAGTGTCCCACATTTTTATTAACACCCTGTATGATAAAACTGCTGAGAATTACAATATAATTACAGTAACAACGAATACATTGGTTCCATAGTGGGATTAAAAAACAAATGATGTATCGACTTGAATTTCTATGACTAATTAACTCTACCTACCCGCTAAGATGGTGTTTTCTGATGAGGAGTTAATTCGTCTTACCCAGTTAACAAATTAAGATGATCTATTATAAGTACATATCACTGCTTGACATTGGTAGTGGCATAACTAAAAAAATTAAATAGAAGGATTACATTATATTTCTATTTTCATCATATAAAACGGCATGTTTATAATTCCATCAGTTTTGCGTCAGAAGGAATTTATGTTGCCATCAGCCTGACCTCAGCAATATACAAATGTAAATTTTAAAAAGCCACTCCTTTAAGATTTACATTTTTTTAATTGTGCTACTATCAATACCAAGCAGCGATATGTATGTACTTAAAATGCATCGCCTTGTCTCCCTCAGACCAAACAGCACCGTATTCGACTCTCCACCCGAATCTTTTTCCCAGGCTAAACTGTGGTAGGGTTAACCATACATGACCCCAGAAAAACTGGAATAATTTCAACCAACGTCAGGGTATTCATTTTCCCCGCAAAAAAGTATTAATATGCCGCTGCTTCTTGTTACAGTGGTACAGAGTAGACGCCACCAAAATACGAGAGGATTTGGTCCGTTTATGGATTCCCCTCGGAGCGGGAGCTCAACACGACCAACCTGACAAAACGGCCGAAATCTTCCTAATGAAATCCGCTGAGAGATCAGACTCTTTACCATTACAGGCATGGCATTCTCTGGCAAGATTTGCTTTGTCCTGGTGCATTAGCCGCACATCCATAAATGGGTGAGTATCGACCAGTTCAACCTTCTCAAATTAACAAAATCTGTTCTTTATTAATTGCCCCCTTTGTATTCTTTACAATCATTATTATTAGATATACCATCAAGTAATTTATAGTTTTTATTCAACTCAATATATCCCATGAACTAGATTGTCTTCGCGCTTCGACCTGTATGACGATATACAGGGTGTCTGTTTCCCCATGTTCACTAAAAGGGACAGTTCCATTCATCTTTTAAAACCTAATTCTAATTGAATTTTCTGCGTTTTACTTTAGTGTAGCACCTCTATCTTTAGAATTAAGTCTCCTCAATTCTTGTATTCTTCTACACTCAACAACGACCATTACCATTTGACAAATTTCATTTCTTCCGTTTTACTGCTCACAGCAATGTAACGACGCGTTTATTTCTTTACCTTTACTCTAAACTTTCGATACTTTTTTAATCTTCTTTACACCTTTGTGACGCAATAAACTAAACCCCAACATTTGGCCGGCAGCTGATTTCATCCGCACGGCCTGACCGACGTGCCAAACAACAAGATCATAAAACCGTACCCTTCGAACAGGCTAAGAAAGTCAGCACGGTCACGTCGAATTTTGACCAACCATTTTAATTAACTTCACGTATACTCATCACCCTGAAGGAGAGGTTTTCTCTACCATGCCTCCCCGGAAAAACCAAAGGCGTTCCTCCACCTTTAAGACAACCAATCAGAAGTCATATTTATCAACCACCTCCACCCTTACGTGTAACCGCCCACCGAAAACACAGGCGTAAACTTTCAGACACTTGAAAAAAGTCAGTCAAAATCACAGAGCGAAACGAGAAACATCTCTTCCACGAAAGGGACTCCAAAGTAAAAAATCGATGTACAGCGTGAACAAGTGGCCTCTTAATACATTGTCACATTTTTCATTATATTGTACCAACACTTGTATTATTCATTTAGTTATAATGTTATATTTTTCACTGTTTCCATTTCCTTGAATTCAATTTCATACCCTTACCTCTGTAACAATTAGTAGGGAATCGGTAAGCTTTCGATGTCGATATAATCGTAACGGAGATTTACAACCTTCGTTGACTAAGACATTGCAAATCCAGTCTCATCATGAGTTCGCGCAAAAACAGTGTCCTAGATATACGTTTTAATATTTTAAGAAGTGGTAAAGAAGGTCAAATTGAAGCAAAAAGTATTCTATGACATATACCATATTTAATTTCGAATAATGTCTTGAAATTTTACAAAATTTTCATCTGTTTATGCTATACTAAGAATCATAGGGTTTCATAATTTCACAGATTTGTCGAAGAACAGAAATAAAATAAATGAAAGATAAAGAGTATATTAAGAATCTTAATATTGCTGTGTCTCCTATAGTTTACCCATTATAAAGCTTGACAAGTACAACAAAATAATTGGACTATATCAGCTGACGTTATTGCTTAATCTTTTAATTTTCATAATTCCTCCATAGCGCAAGGTGTCTTGACAAGTTTACGGATACCTAAGTATTATAGTACTCACAATTCAGCGTTCTATTTTGTTAGACTGTGGATTTTACACACTTTATGTAACTGAATAAACTTCTGTGTTCTGTTTTTAACAATGAAAGAAATAATTAAGAATTACACTTTATTATTTTAACTTTGTTATAATGTATGAAAATGTTCTTGTTTATGGTCTGTTTTTCGAAAGAAGAACCTTGGGAGGTAGGCCCGACTTTTCGCGGTGTTGTCGCGATCGCGAGACATCTACGGCACTTGTGTTTCTCTCACTCTTCGCGTCTTGGCCAATGACGTGCGACCGTCGACACACATCCTCGTCTACGGTCGTCTGTCTCCCTCCATCGCACGTATTACAAACCTCTCGAGAAGAACCTACCTACAATCTCACGTAGTGAGGACTGCGTTCGGCACGCGCCTGTCAATCATCCATTGTCTCGAACTGGCGGAGAATGTTGATGAGACGCTGAACATATTCACACGTCAAGAGTTAAAATACATGAATAAGAAAAGCTTTATTTCTTTTGAAAGAATATATTCTATCCAAATATTGAGCAACATATTAAAAGAGGATTAAATTAATACATAGCTTATTAAACGCTACACGTGGAAATCGCAAGGTAAAGAAGGAAGTTGGTTTACCGAGCGTCTGACACACAGTGGCGTTGAGCCGTGACAACGTCGCACGAAATACGCAACTCGCGTTGGATCCCCATCAGGCCACGCGCCGAGGTAGGGGAACCCCCGAGAGCTCTTCTTTCGAAAAACAGACCATAGGAACGCTTATAATTTATATCAAAATATTTTATACTAATTTATAATTATTTTGATATCTGATACACATTATATTTAAAACATATACAAATTTATAATTCACTTGCGATGAGGTAATAACATTTTTTTATAATATTTCAATAAACATATTTCATCACTGAAGCATTGATTTAGGTTAGGTTTAACCCTTTAAAGCCCAGACCCTTAAATCGTGATTTCAAAATTATGAGACTGATACATGTGTACATGTGTTGTATCTTGTTATTTTGATGTCGAAGATATAGATAGTAAACAGACCTATTTTTTTCATGTTTTCCTTTTTTATTTGTTTTTGGACGACATACTAGAATTTCTCAACTGAAAACGTGGAGATCTACTTTACGTCAGTGAAACCACGCATCCTTGCTGACAAATCTTAGATGTTAACCGGCGACAGAATTTAACGCACTTTTAAAATGAGTGTTGCACCAGTGCATTTAAGGGTTAATAACAACTATGCCGAACTACCCCTTTACACCACTTGTGATTTTTTTAATTCTGTATTTGTTATTAATTCTCTTTCTATTTTTTTGCTACACTTTTATTTTTTCTACAATATAACAAAGACTCTATTATCATTATCATTCATTTAAAAAATTCTCTGTACGTTAGGGGAATTTCTCCATTGTACTCCATTGTCTAAGTTTCTCTAAGAGCGCCAGACTTATCTCACTAACCTCTTAATCAACCAAAGCCCAGATTAATTCCACAATGTATCACGTTCCGGATGCATACGCCCATAAATGAAACATAAACAGCGTCGAGTGACGCTACCAACGTACAAAACATTTAACCGTTAACTGGTGATGTGGAAATCTTATTACACATTACATAACTAGTTGTTTGACATTCCCATGTAAGAAAACATCGATGTTTGTTTGAAAATGAACCATCTTAAGTAACTACCAAATAAAAATAAAATGCTCCAGAAATATTCATGATGTTCCGCAGACCCCACCTCATCAATTCAGAATTAAGACAGCAATATACTTCAGGAGACATTGGTCAACACGATTTCACGTATCAACCTAACCCCGTAGACAACTCTAGCCACCGGTCCCGAAATCAAAATCCACGACAATATCCCCGAGAAGTTGTAACCCGAAGTTCCTGGGAAAACTGGAAATCTCTGATCGCCGTGAAACGTCTGTACTCGCCGGGGCAAGTCCTACCAAAGTCGGGATCGTTCCGCAAGGTGATGAAAGGAGGCTTTCCCTTCGCGCCGGTTAATTAATAACCACGCAGATAGGATCTCCGCCTATCTCGCTGTCCGATGAAGCTCGACAAGCTGGTGGCAAAGACCCTAGCATGGCTGTTGCTGGCTCGGCTCCGCAAGGTAGGCCCCCCCGACGAAGCCCCGGCAAAAGGGGAGGGGGCGAGCGAGAAAGAACGGATCAGCGGGCCGAGAGAAACGAAGAGGGAGAGAAATGGTTATTGATGACCAGCTTTGTTTGCCCCCCCGAACCGTTTATTAAAATCCAACGCGGGTGATTAACCTCTCCCCGGCCGCGTCGTCCTGACAGCTACCAGGCGAAACACCTCCGCAGCCCCGGTGTGTATATAGGATTGACCGGCGAACCGTTTATTAAAATCCAACACGGCTATCCGTGCTACTAGGCGGACCCGACACACACACTCTCTTTCTCTTTTTCTCTCTTTCACCCACCCCGTAGAAGTCGCTTCATGAATTAGAATGATGTAGAAGTTTCTTGGTCGCTACTCTCGTCAGCCGAATTGAGCAATTAACGCGTCGTGAGGCCGAGAAGGAGGAACGTGAGCACAGCCGCGCGCGGGGGGTAAGACCCTGATAAGGTATAGATTTTTCGTGAAACCGTTTTTATGGATCGTAAAGCGAGGATGAGGACGCATGGTCGCGGGACGGGCTTCGTAAATGTCAATCCACCGGGACGCTTAATATTAGCCGTGATGCTGTAAATATGGGTAACATATGATGCTAGGGGGCGAGGACGGGATGTGTTTTAGTTAGAACTAACGTAAGTCGGGGAAAATGGTGGTAGCGGGATTAGTAAGAAACAGTTTTTATGACAATGCCGTTTAGAGGAATGAGCTTCCTGATCATGAAGATCTGAAAATAATTCTTTCTCCATTTGTAATATTTTGTGAAAATAGTATGTTTGTAGACCTTACTTCTTAATATTTGTATTTTTATAGAGTTTCTGATTCTTAAATTGTAATTAAGTTGCAGACTGTATTTATGTTTCTGAATATTTTCAGTGTTTAACATATGTTTCAGTTAACGTTTAACGTGGTAAAACGAGTAATAGGGAAAACAAATTTTCTTCTTATAAAATGACCCACGTAAATGTGAATTTGCATAAATATTCACTATCTCGGTATAACATAAACCGTTCATTTGCGAAAGTGATCAAGTTCACAGAAATTATCAAGGACATTTGTTTTAAATATAAAAGGTTAAGCAGCAATCAAGTGCTTTGACGCTAAAATTTGAAAAAATTCAGAAAGTGAAGCTAGTCACTTTCACCTGTGAATGGCATATATGTATACAGGGTGTAACAAAAATGTTGCTCGTCCGGCAAACTCGCGCTCTGATGGTCGGGGTTTTTCGTTAATATCTCGTTAACAAAGCCCCGAATAACATTTTTGCTAAGGAAAAACTTGTTTCAAATCGCCTCACAGGTGACCCATTTCAGAGACCTA